TGAAAAATTGAGAAGTACCTTACGCTCTCTATTGAAGTTGGAAAAAGCTGGAACATTTAAATTTAAACCATATAACCTTAAGTTTGACCATGAGAAGGTGCAGATTCGGTTATTTCTGGATGAGGCAAATGATACTATCAGCACACTATCAGACTATGGCGCCCAAAACAAATTTCTTTCCTCAACCGTGTTAACGAACCCCTAATTCAATCCTTAGCGTAGAAGGTGAAACTCAAAGGACCGAACTCTTAATCGATGTTTTGGCAGCATTAGATTCTTTAGAATAATAAAAAATACTAATTTTTAAAATTCTGATGAAGATTTGGCTTGCCAAAGAACTCCTACCTATAATTCAATTGTACAGATTTTTTGATCCAGACCCCCCATTGTCCAAAACTGTTCCACCAAAGTCTCAAAAGATAGAGAAATGGAACTTAAAATTTTCCGGCGATGTAAAAGAACTTTCTGTCCATATCTTTTTAGAACGGGTTAGTGAACTTCGGTCATCTCGTAACATAACTGAAAAACAGTTGTTCGACTCGGCTATAGATATTTTCACTGGAAAAGCGTTAAACTGGTTTAGGGCAAACCGAATTAGATTCACTGATTGGGAAAGTTTAGCCCATTTGTTAAAACGTCATTTTGAACCTCCTGGTTATCCTGCTAGACTTTTCAAAGAGATCTTAGAGAGAACTCAGGGTATTATTGATTACTTGTCCTGTATGCAGGGACTATTTAGGCATTATGGTGATCTAACGGAAGAGCTTCAGTTAGATATTTTATGTAGGAATTTGTCATCATTTTATACTACCCAGTTCTCTGTTGTTCCTACCTTGGAAGAACTTGAGGTCGAATGTCTTAAGCTTGAGGTTAGCAAATATAGAGTTGAGAATTATGTACCTCCATTTCGAAAGCGTCAACAGTTTGTTGAGCCCAACTTTGCATTGGTAGAAACAGAAAGTCCACATCCTTCTACCTCTCGCGAACCTGAAAATGCAAATAAAGTTGCTGAGGTCAGTCTAGTGACAGCCCCAATTTTGTCCGCCCCTGATTTCAGTAGAACATTTTAATTACAAACCGATGCGTCAAATTATGGCTTAGGAGCAGTTTTAACTCAACAATTCGAGGAAGGTGAAAAGGTGATATGTTATGTTAATTAGATTGTGAACATTTCAAGGTAATTACATGATTCGTTGTTATAGCTTCATAGATTAAAGCAGGGTTTCCCAACCTTTTTTTTTTTGTTGAGGCTTCCCGGACTATAAATTATATTTTCATGCCCCCCTTTACTTTTTCAATAAATACAAAAAAACACACATTATATAGGTACGAAGACTTTTATTTTAATTCTAATAAAGAAACTTTAAAGGTTTAAATAAACTAACAAATGTTTTTTATCGAAAAACTTGAATAAATTAAGAGTAGGTACTAACGAGACGTTTGAGATTGCATGTTCTGTACCAGTTGGTTGATTCTAGGTTCTGTTTTTGCCAGAGCTATCATCAGATCGCTATCGACATTAAGACGAGTCCAAAGTCTGCCGTAATTTCTGCGGCAATGTTTTGGAAGCCAAGGACTTCATTTTTTGCTCTGCATCTTCTCCTAAAATTATCTGCGTGGCTTTTAGGACACATGGTTTTATTAATTCTTTACCGATAGCATGAGGTTTCATTTGCTTTGCTATCATAAAAGCTATTTCCAATGAAGCTTTGATATGCTGCGATAACTTCCCGATCCATCCAGTCTCATCCGCTTGAGTGATTCTGCTTTAAAAGAAAAAAACTCTTTCGTCTTCAAAACCAGAGCAGGATGTTGTTGCTTCAAATGCCTTTCAAGGCGATTGGACCTCATGCTATCATTACTTAAAACTTTCATACATACACGCTCGTATTTTTCTATGAAGGTAAATCCAAACTTAACGTAATCTTCGGAAAACTTTCTTTTTTCGCTGCCATTTTGCACCTTTTTTTTATACTCCAACTACCACGAAGGTCTAAGGACTAAACACCCATGGGGTACCGTGGGGCAATAGGGGGATACAGGGGAAAGGGGGAACGCCACACGGACTCTGGCGAGGGAACACGTGCGCATGCAACACGCACACATTCTGGTCCCGCCTACGAGATCCGCCGGGTGGTACCTCTGCGTTCGACAGTTAGAGACCGTCTACCACCTACGGGCAATCACAACATCCATAGCTGAAAGAAAAATTCCTCTTGGTACGGGATTCGAACCTGCACAGCGCACGGCGACTGATCAGGAGACCGAAAAGTCTACTAATAACAATAAAACAAATAAGTAATAAATAAATAAGCCAAATACCAACATGTAATTACTAATTATATGTCCATTATTTTATCTTATTAACGTAATGTATTCAACAGTATATTGGTCACCGGGAGATTCATATTTTTGTAGACAGGTTGAGGTTATAATAGTAATTTTAAACAAATTTGAAATCAATATTAAGTACTTAATGCTCGTCGCTTCAAAATTATTTCGCCACGTTGCTTTGATTGTGATGTGGTAAAAAAGTCCCAATGGCCAATCTGTGAACGCGTCTCCACTCAATCAACAATTTAGTAAATAAAATAAAAATGGTAACTGAAGTTTGTAAATACACAAACTTACCCTTTAACAGCGAGGCACAATAATTTACCACACTCAAACAGATTTCTCAACAAAACATGTACATCGAAACGTCAAATTTTTCGCAAGTTTGTGGGAATGAATGTCACAGATGCTCATTCGCGTCTGGTAGGTACACAATTGTTTTCTAAGTGATGAATGTTAAGCGGAGCGCGGCGGGGGTGCGCTGGCAGATGGATGGCTAAATTTCTCTATGGCCGCAAGTTATCCGTCGTAATTGATGGCTTCTTCTCTTTATCTCACAACGTCAACGCGGGTGTTCCCCGGGAATCGGCCTTAGATTCGACACTGTTTTTATTACATATCAACGACTTCCTTTCCTGTACCATCCACTTAATCTACAGCTGTGCTGATGACAGCACTTTCAAGCAGGAATTCAGAATGACAAGCCGATCTCTGCCGGTAAGTTGGAGAAAATAATACTAGCAGCGACTTTTTCTCTGACGCAACATCTCGACAATAGCGGTAGCTGCTGGGAAAAAGCTACGCTATTTGTTTAGAGCTAAGGAGTAATTTTCTCCACTTGACCTTCGCACTCTGTACAACGCCCAGATACGACCTAGCCTCGAATATTGCTCACATTTTTGGGTTGATGCCGCTCCGACCACATTATCAATACTTGATGCTGTGCAGAGGATGATGCCGCCGCGCCTTGTGCCTGCCAGAACTGAATAATCTACAAGCAGAGGGTTTTTCCAATTTGCTCTACTAACCTTAAGCAATTCAAAAATCGCATTAACAATAATTCTTTGAAATCCTAATGGAAGCCTTGGCATTTAAGCTTTGGCCTGTACGGATGCTTCGCCGTAAAAAAGTCCGTAATTGGAAACTATGCTTGTCCCGACAAGCGGAGGCACACCAATGGTGAAAAGGTAATCACCAGGCCCAGAGCGCGTTATCAGTATTTCCAATATCTCTTCTTGAAGATACAGATATTTATTTTGGATGTATACATTAATTTCATACAAAGACAGCTCAAGTCATCTGAGAATGGGGTTAATTACCTTATTTACCCTTACTCCCTTGGGAACATCACTGCGTCAAGTACTCTCTCAAATATATGTTTTGAAAAGCAACGTACAATATTTTTTGAACTAAGATAACTACCATCATGTTGAGCGTATAGAAAATAAAAAAATCACATACCCAGGGTGTTCCAAAAGTATAAGCACCAAAAAACTCAACAACTCAGGGTGCCAGAAAAAACTATGAATATAGAAGTTTTAGAAATTCTTATGGTGCATCTAGTGGTCACCTTGGATTTGACGTTGACATTCACCCTCAAGTTAATTTTTTCAAAAAGGTATCTTTATTGCAGAAATTGAAAGCTAACCAATTTCCTTTTTAACGGTATAAATATGTAAAGGGCTAAAATTACATCTGAAGATTACTTCAAGGTCAACAGCTGCTGTTTTATGGAATGTTGTGAAGCAGTGGATAGGTGGAAAAAGAAGAATGAAGAAGAACTTTCAATGCGAAAATAGTAGGTCTCCCAACAGTCCATCTGATGCTGACCTTCATTCTGTCCTTGGCGGTCAATTCAAGGTCAAATTGATTTTTTGTATGAAAACCCTCAATTTTTATCCCATTGCGGAAAACTTTCAATCTATTGCTTAAAGCATTCATGTTTTTCTAATTGACAATGGATGGTCTGAGGTATCGTCTGACTGACCGTGCACGAGTAACTATTCTTATGATGAGAGGATGGGGTTAAAATAGTCAGGTCGTATAGTCTTATTCACAAAAATAGGTCATTTGACCTTGAAATAACCTTAAAGTGTGATTTTACCTTCGTTAATTGAACTTTCAAACATCAGATTTTTCTCCATTTCTAGTGCTGGAATCAAATTTAAGGGTTTGCATGTAAAACAATCGATTTGACTTTGAATTTACCTTCAAGGTCACGGTTAAGGTCAGAATAAAGGTCACCATCAGATATGCCGTTGGGTATCCTGCAAATTTCTTCTTCTAGCTACTTCTAGCTACCTGCTGCTTCACCACATTCCATGAAAAAGAAACAATTGACCTTGAAATAACCTCTGGATGTAATTTTAGCTCCTATAATATTCATAACGGTAAAAAGAAAATGTGTATGGCTTTCTATTTCTGTAATAAAGAACTAAGGCCTCCATTTGAAAAATCAACTTGCCTTTGAAATGACCTTCAAGGTGAATGTCAACGTTAAATCCGAGGCTAGATGGGCCACTTGATTCCCTAAAAATAATGTATCTAAGTTTTTTTCTAGCGCTTTCCAGATATTTGGGTGTGTCCATACTTTTGGGACACCCTGAATACCTACGAATAGACTTTTCACATTATAATTTGTCTTGAGACAAACAGTTCCTAGGAACCATGTCGTACGGTACCTACTTATACGGTAAAAATAGCCAACGTTCCTTCCTAGATCCGTATTATTATTGTTCACCGGTCAAGTATATTATTTCCCCTTGGTGGAAAGAACAAATTATAAAATCGAGTAATATATCCACTCCACAGTATGGGATGTTCTACTCCCCTACTTTCTTGCTTTTACATAATTTATTAAATCTATAATGTCGCTGGACATCGTTATATCCTCTAAGCGACTATGATATAGTTTCATATCAACCGTCACAGAAAATGAGTGAAAGTAGTGTTGTCAAGGACTTTTTCAAAGGAAAATGTGTACTGTTAACAGGAGGCACTGGCTTTTTCGGAAAAATGATCGTTGGAAAGCTACTAAGTTGCTGCGAAGTGGAAAAGATTTATCTGGTTGTAAGGTCGAAGAAAGGTCAGAGTCCCAAAGAAAGAGTTGAAAAATTGTTGGAGGACCCAGTGAGTAAATTCATAATTAATTATCTTGTTTAGTTACGACCACTCTCCTTGTGCCAAAAACAAATACAATATATTTTTTGTGTAGAGGTCCACAAACCAGGATAAATTTAACCTTCAACCCCAGACATGAAAAAATTCCTTAACGAAATCATAATATTTATTATGATAAACAAAATTATATTCCTAAATATAATATTTAGATTTTAGATTTCTTATATCCCTTACACTACTTTGGTTCATTGACAATTATAGAGGAATCTGGCTTAAGCCGGAGCCGTTCCCTAAAATGGACCCCTGACCTCATTGGCTTTGCATTACCTGCAAGTCTGTTATTGCCAAATGTAAATAGTACCTTAATTCTAGGTTCATCTCTCTCATAAAATAGGCACTATCCCCCATTATATTAAAATCATTTTTCAATTTCGGAAAAGAAAATAGGAAACCTAAGGGTACATGCACAAGATTCGTTGCTTCCCTTAACGTCGCTCAAGTATGCGGGCGACAGCACAAATGACAATTTGATTATAAGTAACGGAACCCAGCGGAAGTTTCGCTTCTCTTCCTTTCGCTTCCCTTCTCGTCAATATGCATGTACTTATTAAGAGGAAATGGACTCTTTATATAATGGAAAAAGGACGAGAGCATAAAAAGTACTATTACACGTCTGCAATCGTTGATGCTACGAGTCTGGTTTGTGCGCCTAATTTTCAAATCAGGGATACGTAATGGTTTTGTATTTTATAATGATTTTCAAGTATAAGGTATAAAAATTATGATTAACATTTCAAAGTAAATGTCGCATGCTTTTAAAATATACGTTTATCTATTTTTCATATTTTTTTGAATCAATAACATAATGGGAGGCCGGTTCATTATATTGTATTTGTGGTAATCCTAGGGCAGCAGCAAAATCTTCATCCACATATAGAAGCTGGAGGAGGCATCCCCCTTTAAAATAATACTTTGTTTCCCATTAACAATTGTTCCATTTTACGTTCCATTCTGCGGTATTATACTCTAAGTATGTTACTGGTTAGTTTTTTGTCATTTCAATGATTACTACCTGAAGCCATAAGATAACACATTTACCGATGCTTGAATTTTCCACATAGGTTTTTGAGAAACTTTTCGAAAGTCAAGACAAACATCCTTTGGCGGAAAAAATGCATGCATTTGAAGGAGATCTCTCAAAGAAACAGTTAGGACTAACAGAATGTGATATAAAGATCATAAGCGATAAGGTAAGAACTTTAAAAGTTACATCAATATGTATTCAACAGTAATGTCTGAATGAACTGGTGTTGTCTTTGCATAACTACTTCCAAGGGCCAGTTCATTTATTGTCATTTGGTTCATTTATGTCACAAAAAATGTTACAATCTTATGCAAGAAACCGTTGACTGGTCCTTTTTACGTAAAATTACTGATGTTAATGAACTATGCGATACATTTTATGTTAAAATTTTTTCAATATTTGATATTTATGTTCCTAAATATACCAACACCTGCAAATTCAGGTATCCTCCTTGGTATACTGGAGAAATTATAAGTAACATAAATTTGAAGGATTATTACTACAGAAAATACATGACTTTGAAGTTGAGTCATTAATTTTCAGATAATGATTGTAGAAGGAAGATAAACCAAAATATGTGTGTAAAAATAAAAAAATAAATAAAAAAAATGTTACCTTGTTTAATAAAGTATCGTCCCGACAAGTATTTCAGTGCGGACCTGTATTTGATCGTGCGGTCACGAGGGGTTGGTTGCACTCGATTGGGAAACCGATTCGCATACATCCGTGATGCATCCGGAAGCATTTTGTAAACACTGCCCCCCCGTAAATAAGAATCATGTCCACAAGTTCAGCATTTTCGTAAACATGTGCCATTTTTGATTTCGTTTGAGCCACGCAACAAATACTACTATTCATTAACGCGTTATCGACTGACGAAAAACATCGTGATAAACGTTTCAAATTCTTTCGCTTTTTTGTTTCCGATGCGATGAACCGGTCAGGCGGATTATATCCGTTGTCGCCAAACACGAACATATTATTATTGAGACAGGGCAGTACTCAAACTTCCAAAGGGCTATAACTTTGTTACTTTAATTTTACCAGAAAAATGGTAAAGGAAAAAAACATTTCTTTTGATCAGATCTACTCACTGTTAAAATAAATGACTCAACTTCGAAGTCACCCTGTATAAGAGAACAAGCAATGTTTACCATTACAATGAATTTTCTAGATTGCGCAGAATCATAAAGGGGCGAGTTAGAGTTGCTTACAGTGAGTACTTGTCGTCGGTTGAGGACAGTATAATCAACGACCCGAAGAAGTTCTGGTCATACATTCGGAATAATTGCTGTAGCAGAATACCAGGCCAAGTCCAGTTCAACGGCAACGTATTCAATACTCCACAAGGTGTTATTGATGCATTTGCCGACTATTTTAAGAGTGTGTATGTTACTCCTCGAAATATTCCCTCTTCTTTAGTTAGTGTCACTTCAACACCATGTATTTATCTAGAGGAATTAACGGAAGCTGATGTACTGAAGTCTCTCTCTAAGCTTCAAAATAAACTTACGTATGGTAGAGATGAAATACCTAGTTTTATTATTGAAGCTCATGTTTTCGTCAAGCCGATAATTTTCAATGCTATATTAAAGAGTGGAATTTTTCCTGATGTTTGGAAGATAGCTAGGTGTGTCCGGTCCTGAAAGATGGTGATAAATCTGCTGTACTCAACTATAGAGCTATAAGCATTTTGAACAACTTTGCAAAGGCTTTTGAAATGGCCATTTACTCTTTTATCTTCGAGAACGTTAAAAGCCTAATTACTCCATCACAACATGGTTTCATCAAAGGTAGATCCACTACGTCAAATTTAATGACAATTACGCAGTATATAGCAGAATCGTTAGACAAGAAACAACAAGTCGATGTTATTTACATGGCTTTCAGCAAGGCTTTCGATAAATTAAACCATCATCTTCTTGTGGATAGCCTTCATTATTTTGGCCTTGGTGACTCGTTAGTCGGTCTTTTAAGCTCATATCTTTCTAATAGGACGCAACATGTTTACTATAATGGTTATTCTTCAGCAAATTATACTGTTCCCTCTGGAGTACCGCAAGGTTCAAACCTAGGTCCCTTGCTGTTTTTATTCTTCATAAATAACCTAGTCGCTTCACTAAAGTGCGAATGTCTACTATTTGCTGATGATCTGAAAATCTACACCAAAATTACAAATTTGGAGAGCTGTATTTCCCTTCAGGACGATCTGCATACCATCAGACAGTGGTGCGACAATAATATTCTCTTCTTAAATATTTCCAAATGTAAAGTATGTTCATATTGTCGTAAAATGTACCCGATTATGTTTGATTACTCCATAAATAATGCGGTTTTGGAGAGAACAACAGAGACTAAAGATCTTGGTGTAACATTTTCCTGTAGATTGGACTTTTCTGTCCATGTAGCACGTGTCACTTCCGAAGCGACACGGATTCTGGGTTTCATAATGCGCAACTGTCGATCTTTTTCCAATGAAGCGGCACTAAAAGCTCTTTATTTCACTGGTGCGACCAAAACTTGAGTATGCCTGTTTGATATGGAACCCTTTCTATGCGTATTATATAAGCTTCTTAGAAAATGTGCAGAGGAAATTTCTTAAATTCTGTGTTTATAATCGATGGCACATATCCAGAAAGGGGGGTCTCTCAATTTGTTCTGCTGCGTCGTTTTGAACTAGAGTCTCTACAGTTATGACGTTCCACTGCTGGCCTATCATTCCTTCATAAGCTTTTGCACGACAGAGTATATGCACCAGAACTTCTCCAGAGGTTAAATTTCTATATTCCACGGTTAAATACGAGAAGAACTCTAACTTTCTACTGCAGTACCTCCCGTACAAATGTGTTATTTTATTCTCCGCTACATTCTATATGCAACAATTATAATTCCATAGCAGACAGTTCTGTCATTAATTTTGACTGTATCAGTAAGATCGTGTCGAATTTCAGGTACTATTATAATAGCTAGTTCTATTTTTTAAATTAGTTTTAGGTATACATTACATGTATGAATTATAAGTAAAGTTACCATGATATTATCCTTTAATTGGAATAGTTCTGTTGGGCAATAATGTATAAATAAATAAATAAACCGTGAAGTGTCAAGACACTGGCTCCTATGGGTAGTAGATGCGCCATCACCTTCTTCTATCAACTGATATCTACAGTAATTGATACCCTGACAATCATCATCAGAAACTCAACCGGCAACCCATCGATTGGTACAAATACTGTACTGTAAGTTGTATAACACTTCACATTAACATCTAAAAGGCATTTCACCTTTTCATTCAAAAACATCATCAAAACCGAAAAACTATCCACGTCGGTATGTATATTGTCGTCTGTACCTGTCTGACTAAAAATGAAAAAACGAAAATCGCTCAAACTTTGTTCAGAGTCATTTACTATTAACGGAGGAACAGAGCTCTGAAAATCAATCCAGTGGAAGCGAAATAATCAGAAAGAAGAATAATCGGATGATGAAATATTCACATAACGTTACGGTATTGACAAGGGCGGAAAATCTGTTATCTCTATCTCTATAATAAGGCGCATAACAATTTCACGGTACCTGTAAAATGTAGCTTTTGCGGTCCTTATTTACATAAATATAATTCTATTTTCCGATATAATATTGAGTCAAAAATTGATTGATAATTCAACTTAATTGACGCAACATCCAATATTTCGCTTAATACATTCGAACAGCTTCTAAGATTTTGATGACACCAAGGTATCAGCGAAGTCTTCAAGTTGCAACAAATGAACTATTTCCATTAAATTCCTCTACATACATAAATATTCCAGGTCAGCATTGTATTTCACTGTGGAGCTTTCCTAAATATGGACGCAAAACTTCATGACGCCGTTATAACTAATGTACGAGGAACATCCGAAATTATACAGATATCCAAAAATATCAACGACTTGCAAGCTTTTTTGCTTATTTCGACAGCGTACTCTAACTGCAGGGAAAGACATATAGAAGAAAAGTTCTACAAGAGCCCGATAGATTCAAAGCTTCTGATCTCTATGGCAGAACATCTGGGGCCAGACTTTCTCAACAAATTGAGTACGCAGTAAGCATTCATGACTATATAGCTTCGGCTTACTACTACATTCGTGAAATACAGTTATATAGGGTATAAATAAAATACCTGAATATATTTCAAGGAGTGATTCTATGGCCATTTTATGAACAGTTTTGCATACAAGTATAACCATAGATCTGTAAATGTTCCATATTTAAAATACAATTTTTTGAAAAAATGTAATAACCATTGGGCCAATTTTCTTAAAGTTTTATAAATTACAGTAGGGGCACAGAAGTATGATCAAAAAATAAATAAAATCCATAAAGAAAAAGACTTTATTAAAACACAAATTTTTAGTCTTGTAAACTGTCGAATTTAAATCTGTCAATGTTATGCCTCAAGGGTTTGGGTGTTATTGACAGGTTTTTCTATTTTATTTTTTCTAAATTACCTTCGATACGTCTACCAACTAAATTTCAACAAATCTTAACAAAGGTTGTTAAAAATTTTCCTAAAAAGAGTTTACATCTTGTATCCTGAAAACGAAACATTTTCGCTATGTTTATATGGACCTTGGGGCACCACTTCAGGTATACAACGTTGTTTTTAGCAACTATCAATCTCATTGAGGCACAACGGAAAGCAAATATGCAAATATAGGTTTACTGAAATATTCAGTATCTAGTTGCGCGGAGAGGTGACCTTGCCATACACAAGTACTAGTGACCCCTACGAGAGTAACAGGGAACTACTTACGTATGAGACATCTCTGAGTGACAGTCCGCTGCGGTGAAACATATATTCGTTTCGTCACTCAGGAGAGCACAAGTACACTGAGAAAAAAATTGAGTAAACCAATTAAGCCAATTAAGAAATTCAACCAACTACATGACAGCTAACAAGTTTTATTATTTTAACTAACTTAATTCCGATTTCTAAAGCAGGTTACTTGAATCTATAAAACTATTTTGATTAAATCAAAACGTTTACTTCGATTGATAACACCAATTTACTTAGAATTAATGAACCATTAAAATGAGTTTACCTGCTCCAAGTAAAACAACTGAATTATATATTTGTTCAATTAGTGCAGGTAAGGATATTTGGACTTTAAGAGAACAATTTGCATTTTACTGAATTTTTCGAACCAAAATGAAAGCTTCCAAATATTTTAACCCTATCGAAATTCGATATTTTTATATTTTCATTGATTGTAAACTTATTACGTCTGCCCTGCAAAAGTTTGGACTCACTTAGAAAATTTGTTCTTTTGCTATTTAATGCATTAGTTATCGTTCTCAGACAGTTTTATATAACGAATTTATATATAACGGCATTTTATTAATGACTTTTAAGCGTTTTCTTTTAATGTGCATTTCTTTATTGTATCAAAATATGTTAATTTAAAAATATTTTTTTTTGACCTCAAATCAATTTTTGGTCGATGCATCGACACTTTAAAATGTGCATCAATGACTTTGAAACATATCTGCCGCCAATTGTCTGTAACAAAAACCTTAAATTTGCATACCTTGTCACTCGAATTACAGTTGCACATTGCTCAAGACTTCCATCTGTTTTGCTGCTTCAAAATTGTGTCCATAGTCTAGAAAATGGAAAGAGCAAAGCAATTATTGAAAGAAAAACGTGCTGAGATAGTAATTTTGACGACCAGTAAATGTTTGTAAATGACACAAATGGGCAAAAGAACACAAAAATTGGTCCATCGAATAGTGAAAACAGGTGTTATGGACCGATAAGTACAAATTTGAAATTTTCGGTAGCAAACGGCGAACGAACTGCCGCAGAAAATCTGATGAATGACACGCACCTCAATGTGTAGTGCCAACAGTTAAGTTTGGTGGTGGCAGCGTGATGGTAAGGGGGTGTTTCTGATACACTGGTGTAAATAGATGGGAAAAAGCAGAAAGAAGACTATCACCGGATACTTCAGCGGAGCGCCATTCCATCTGACATCGATTTCATGGGGAAGGGTTTGAGTTTCAGCAAGATAACAACCCTAAACATACATCAAAACTTTGTACGAATTATTTAAGGTCAAAGGAAGCTGCATGCAATCTTGAACTGAAGGAATGGCCACCACAATCGCCAGATGCAATCCTATAGAACTATTGTGGGATGATCTGGACAGAGAAAAGCGAAAACTGCATCCAACTAGCGAATCTCACTTGTGGCAATGTCTTCAGCAGGCTTGGCAACGATTACGACCAGAAATGCTGGAGATAGAATGCCCAGAATTTGTAGTGCTCAAATCGAAATGCCAACATATTAACGAAAGTCTGCTGGGTTGATTGTTTTCATTTGTTTGCACAAACAAACTCAAAAATATCACCAGTAAATATCTACTACTCATTTATAAAAATAAACAATGTTATATAAAAAGTTCTGAGAACGGTAGTTAAAGAGATACATAAGGGAAAAATATTTTTCTAACTGAGCCCAAACTTGCAGGGCAGTATATATATATATACAGGGTGTTTGAGAACTAAGGGATCAAACTTCCAGGGGTAATTCAGTGTAACAGTAGAAAACATTTGAGTATACGGACCCATATCCGGAAAAGTGTTACTACGGCACCACGACCCTAAGACGCGTTTCGGCACCGTTGGATTGTCAGAGGTGGAGTAGTTTCTTGGCCTCCTAGGTCACCCAATTTAACGTCGCTAGATTTTTTCCTGTGGGGACATGTAAAGTCTTTGGTTTACGAAACTCCAGTAGAAACAGAGTAAGACTTAATCGAACGAACTACAGCAGCATTTGAAATCATTCAAAACGAGTATCAAATCTTTAGTCAAGTCCGCCGAAATCATGTGCGACGTAAAAATCGGTGTATTCAGGTTGGAGGAAGACATTTTGAACAATCGTTGTGATGATATCATGTACAAAAGGCAAAAATTAAATGCATCAAATCCTATTTAGGCAGTTCATCGTCTTTCTAAATTTTAAAGCGTCTTGGGGCCGTAGTGCCGTAGAGACACTTTTCCGGATATGGGTCCCTATACTCACATGTTTTCTACTGTTATACTGAATAACCCCTAGAAGTTTGATCCCATAGTTCTGAAACCGTGCATATATATATATATATATATATATATATATATATATATATATATATATATATATATATATATATATACAATTAATTGTTAATTGGGGATTGGCATATCTTTTAGGCTTAAGTTGACACTTTTGACGATAAAATCAAGCTTTCAGCATTCTCTATGGAGCCTTCATCAGGATTCTGAAAACACAATTGTGATGCTAGCAAAGAAAACAGGACAGATTTAAATTGTCAGACAACTTACTCGTCGGTGAGGTTGCAGCCACAAGGTGTTTCAAAACGAACGTAGAGAAGATCGAACTTGTAATCAGTATAAAAACAGAAGGACGGGGACCTTGGGCTTGTTGAAAAACGACAGATACCTTCGTTACATGTTAAAAATATCAATCCACCCGAACAAGTTAAAAAGTATTATACGTGAGAAGACATTTTGTTGAAACAATCGGAATGCAGTCTCTAACCTTCTACTTCCGCTACACGTGGAGAGGGGGACGGCACGGAAAGATAAAGCGTCGACAGATGACAAGTGATTGACGCGACGGACCGTGGAACCGTAAACCTCCCTGTCCAACTTTGGGTATGAAGTATACGCGGGACGCTCGGTAAACCTCCACCCAAAATTACTAAAATGCTGAATTAACTTGTTTTGGAAAAAAATGTGTAGTTCATATGAGTGTAAGAATGTGTGATATTGATATAACCTTGAAAAGATGAGTTATGTGAGTTTATATTAAAAATGTGAGTGAGAAAATGTATTCTAATTTTGTGAAGATGCTGATGAAGAAACTACAGACGAGGAAGAAGAAATTGAATCAGGTCTTGAAGTAGGGTCTACTGTACTTCAGAAAGCTGTTGCGATTGTTAATACATCACAGGAAGTTGCCGAAGATCAAGCCAAAGTAAGAAGGATATACAGGGTGTTCCATAATTATTGCGACAAAATGATAGGGGTTGTAGAGGGCATCAAAATGAAAATTTTTTCCTTATAAACCCCTGTTCGGAAACATGCCGTTTGGGCTGCAGCAAAAAAAAAGATCAGTTTCTTGAAACAGCTTACCTACAGTAATTGCTCAAAGTGTCCTCCACCTTGCTCAATACACACCTGTGCACGATTGTTCAATGATCGGCGAACTCTGTGGCATACCCCCGGTATGTCCTGAACATGTGCGGACGCGGCCATCACTCTTCCCAGTAGCTCTTGTAGGTTGGGAACAGGAGTTTCGTACACTAAAGCTTTCAGATAGCTCCAGATAAAATAATCCAGTGGAGTCAGGTCAAGTGACCGCGCAGGCCAAGGCACAGGGCCACCTCGGCCTATCCACCTATTTGGAAATTTGTCGTCCAAATACTGCCGCACTTGTAAAGAAAAGTGGGCTGGACCGCCATGGTGTTGAAACCACATGTTGGCTCTTATATTCAGTGGCACATTTTCTAATAGTTCCGGTAGCACATGCTGTAAGGATCGACCATAAGCATGCCCATCCAAACGTGGTGGAAGCAGATATGGCCCGATGATATGCTCGTCCACAATGCCGCACCAGATGTTAATTGAAAACTGATGTTGGTGTCTATGGATGGCTATGGCATGAGGGTTTTCTTCATCCCAAATGTGACTGTTACGGCTATTAAAATAAACGTCCTTTGTAAAACAGGACTCGTCAGTGAACAAAACGTAGCGACCAAAGTTTGGTTGCCTCAACTCCTGCTGCAGCCACCAACGACAAAAACGTCGACGCGGCAGATAGTCTGCTGGACCCATGGCTTGGACTTTTAAAGGGTGGTCCGGGTGTACGAACAAAAATGTAAACACAGCAGGCTTTTTCTACAAACCGGCGAGACCATGAAATGTGCTAGACGAACATTTTGCAGCTGGTGAATTTTTTGTTTCTCCTATGAGCTCTTAAGGTAAAATTAACTGTAGTGCTCAAACGGCATATTTACGAACAGGGGTTTATAAGGCAAA